TAGCTAAGATAAGGGTTTATTTATATATTTTTTATTACTCTATACCTACCTAAAAATGTGTTTTTTACCATTTGTAATAATTGAAAATGTTATTTTTATTTTCCAAAGACTATACTACACTGGAAATAAATCTTAGCAAACGAAAACAGATTTCAAATACGATAAAAAGCTCTTGATTTTTGGTTTCTTTTTTCTTTCCTACGATAATATAAGTATAGGAAAATACAGGTTATTTTAACTGAAATATTAAAGGTATCATAGTAAGAGTAGAATGTATTGATTTTACTATGTATGTTTTTTTTATTTTTTGTGCCTGTGAGCAACTTTTCAAACAAAAATCTTGCCCCGATGTATCAAGAAAACACCTTTTCTGAAAGGAAATTTTATCTAATTGGTGTATTTTTTTATTTTCCAAGAGGTATTTATAATAATTGAGAAAAGCCGGAAATAAAATTATGGATAAAACGTCAAATATTTAAAACGTACCATGGCGTTATCAACGGGGATGTCCCGTCTTGTCCTCCCTCTGGGCACCCATGGACGCTCGTCTTTTAAACGCCATATGATAAGATTCGTAAATGAAAAATTTAAGCACCACTGCAAAAAAGCAGTCCCGGTAATAAATATTTTGCCATATACTAATATATAGTCATGTTTGGGGTATTGTAAACATACAAGGGATCATAGGGTGCGATGACACCCGAAGATCATCACAGACGTTTAGGGAGCCCGAAGGGTTTTAATTTCAAAATCCCGTTCCCCGCATGTAGGCACAAATATTTACTTAACATCAACTGCAAGTGTACATATACGTGCAGCCAGTTGTGTACATAATAATATAATATCGTATTCGAAATTCTGTTATTTAAACAACCATCAAAACTGAGGGACATAAACTGAGATATAATCATATAGGAATACGCGTATATATTGATATATTTTATAGCTATTCGTTTTGATCTTTTGCAAGCTCATAAGTAAATAATTAAATTTTGATGAAAATAATTCTAAATATTACAACATTTTAAAATATGTATCACTTAACTTCGTTCAGAATCTTAGTTCGTTAGCAATGTTTTATCATTGTCTACAAGTATAAAAAAATAACTTTATGCACACATTCCCAACTATACACCTACAACAGTGGCTGCACCCATTTCGAATATCAGCTTCTTCTTTTTTTTTTTTGATAGTAGAAAGATACTTTTAAAAATTATACTGATTTTAACGATATAACTAGAGTTTGAATATGACCAATTCTCTTAATTTTTTTACTACCTATTTTTCTATCATTTTTTTGAGTAAAAGATAAAATTCCAACAGTCAAACAAATCTACAAGTCAATCAATCTACAGACACTTGAATTTTCCCTTGATATAAATATTAAATTTAATAGGACGATTACCCCCCCACCCCACCACCGGTCACCAATATACTCTTAACCACATTATACTCTAAGTTTGATTCATCATAGAGCTCAATATAAATGTGTGCCTCGTATGAATTTTCAAAATCACCCCACAACCTCTCGTTATCTTGTCCCGGATTTGTCGCTGGATTAAAACTATCTATCAGTTAAAACCTATGTAACAATTTATAAAATTTCACTAGCAAGACCTTTGACGTAATATTATTTTGGTAATAAATCACATAAAAATGTATATAGGTACAGGAAACTTAATATATATATATAAAAAAAAATGATATAATTATGAATGTTTTAAAATAAAGATGTTCATTTATTTTTTGTTAAAATGTTAAAACGCGTAATATATTATTGAAGACTCTGTAAATATTTATCAGTTTAGAGTCGATTGACAACGGAGTTTTATCAATCGAAAAGCAAACAGTGTATATGATTTACCCACGCATATATAAAATAAATAAAAACTGACAATTTGTTTTTCTAATAATTTGTGTTAATTGGTATTGATATGTGTGTGTACATTAGATTACTGATGCACACAGCACACATTTTATGTAACTCAGTATATTATTGCATTTTTTTTTAACGTGGGAAATAATATAATGCATTATATGATTTAATGTTTGCATTAGTTAATTGAGACATTTAAGAAGAAAGAGACTACATGAAAAGAAAGATAAGCTGATGATATACTTACTTATGTAACATATAATATATAATGGTTATTACTTATTATATTAATCGCGATGAATTTTGAACTTATGATATCGAATGTTAATATTGTTAAGTCGTTAAATACGAAAAAACAATCAATAAAAAACAAACAAAAAAGATATCCTAGGAAATTGGAAACGAGTGTAGCTACTGTTGGAAATTTGATGTATATCTGTTTGCATCGATTAATCATTGCTAACGAAAAACGATTCTGAGCAGAGTATGGTGTATAATGTTTCTTTGTAAACAATATATTATATATCATATTTTGGTAAAATAATAAAATATGCATTAAACATCGTCTTCAATAATATTTAGTTAATATTGTACCTATTTTCCCGTGTTGTTTTCCTAGTTTTTTCCTTTTATTGGGAAAACTCCAGGGAAAATCAAAAAATGATCTTAACCCTAACTAAAGTATCACCCCAGTCAGATTTCCTTTCAGAATAAGTGCTATCATTGTAAATCGGAGCAACATTGCTGGTAGAAAAGTTGTTCACAGAAAAAATAATAAACATAATTGGAAATCCAATAAATTCCTCGCTCCGCTCAGAATCTAAAATGTTATTTTTTGTCTGAAATAAAAATCTTGACGTGAATGTATGATGCGTTTGTATTGGTATTTACACGGTTTTAAAAACAAATAAAACGAAATCATACACATCACACAGTTATATGTTACAATACTATGCTAAATGTTCGACAAAATAAATATCTACCAAAGTAATCTTCCAGTTTTAATTCAATTTCAAATATTTACAAATCTACAGTATTTTTATACGGTAACATGAATTATAAGCACTGCGAATACCTATTAGTACCAACTTTGGATATTCGGCGGATGACCTCGATAACAATTATATGCGTCAACATATCCGTAAAAATCATCAGTGAATTCATCAGTATTTTATATTTTATAAAGTATTTAAAAACCCGATAATTTGTACCATACGTTTACTTCGCCTTCACGCACTGTATATGTTATAATTCGGATTCTGTATAGGATTAAGAGATAATAATATGTAAACGGTAAACGTACCGGATTAAAGGGAGTCAATCCGATATTTTTATCCAATTGATTAATCAGCTACCAAAACCAATTTAAACAGACTGAGATTACGGGTAAATCTCGAGTTGGGGGCAAATGTCATAATAATATTTTCATAAAATTGACATATTTCGCACCATGAATATTGAATAGGCCATTGTTGATTGTCTGTTGTAGGTGGATATTTTGAAAGGTAGATAGGATATGTAGGGAAATTAAATCTGTATACCTACTAAAGCAAATATCATTGTAATCAAACAACGACTCTTATAGTCGTGTTGGTTTTCTTTAGTACTCAAGTTAATTCAATGTAACAACATTCGTAGTCAGATTTTCAATATTTTAGAAAACATTTTGGGAATCTATCGAAATTCGTTTGGCGAACAATACTCACATTTTAATGTGCGATGAGAATAATTTAGACTAAACGAAAAAATGTTCTGAAAACATTGTGCTTTCCCCTAAATTTTTATATGTAAGGTACATTTGTATATTGAAGAAGTTACCCGTTCTCGAGTTAAATACGACTATATACAGTAATAAAAAATTATTTATTATTATTAATTAATGATATTTTACAAACTCGGCAATGACGAAATAAACTGCAGGCAAAGCAAAGGCTTTGAGAATGAAAAGTTAACACTATGGAAACTAGAGGAATTTAATACAATAGATTTTGGTAACTAGTTTAGAAACACGCAAATTTAGCAGGACGTTAAAATAGTTTAACATTGCAAACTATTGAATAAAAATACTTTCTATGCCTATTTAGGTATTCAAAAATGACTAACTTAATAAAAAAATTACTTTTTACTTTTCAAATTTTGTTTGAAAAAAAAATAAATATATTTTACTTATAAAATGTTTGTAATTTCGGTAATACTAAGTTTTTATGCGCTATGAAATACTATAGAAATACGATTAATATTGGGATTTTTTTAATATATTTTTATTAGAGTATTAATCATCGTTATTATAGAAATATTATATCAGCACTATTATTAATTGTAACTATAACAAATTAACGCTCGTTATAGCTTCAGTTATAATATGTTTAATAACGTACAGTTATTCAAATTGTCTAATTTTACTCCTTAAGTTATATACTATTCTAGTATTCTATACCTAACTATTTAACAACTATAACAACTGTATTGTAATATAACACGTAGTGTCGTAGTAACAACTAAAGTTAGTAGGTTAAGTATATAAATTATTAATAATATTATATTTATTCTTAAGGGGTAAAATACGACAACCATAACTACAATCTCAGAGGGATTGATAAAGTACTGGTTTTTACCATAGCCGTGCAGTATTGTCGTATATTATATTAATTACTATTTGATATAGTTTAGTGGTTTAATAGTCTTATGATTACTTTTAGCTTCAAGCCGAATTTCCGTATTTCATTACACCGTATTCCGTGTATTTTATATCTCACACCGTCCATATATTTTGCAATCATTAACCACTCACTGTATAATCATCTACCACGGATCAAGTCCGTGTAATCTACTATCAAATTATAATTTTAACGGCTGTGATATGTTTCTATTTTGTCTTCAATAAATAGCTGTGGATTACATAAAATGTGATATATAAATTTGAATCCAATTCAACTTTTTATATCATTGGTATAGATCACATATCACAAATATAAACCGGGTAATATTTAGTATCAACCAAACCTCGGCCAATCAGAATACGTATTACGTAGATTAATGAACAGTGAAATGGAAACTTGGCATATCGGCTTTAGCCTGTTGGTTTGTCATTTTTTCATTGTCTTTTGTTAAATTGTGTAATTAATTAGTAATTTAATTCATGTAAATTTGTAAAATTTATTCATTGTTATTAATGTTTGATATTATAGATACTGATTAATGTTAGGATTTCCATATTTTGATAATATTTACGGGAGAAAAAATTACACCAGGTATGTATTGAAAAACCATTTTAGATTCAGAGCGGAGCGAAAAAGCTCATGGTTTTACAAAGATGTTTATTTTTTTTTTTCAATATCTGTTAACGAATTTTCTACCAGGATACTTCCTCCGATTTTTAAGTATAGCACCTTTTCTGGAAGAAAATCGGTGTAGGGAGGTACTTTAGGAAGGTTATTAATTGTTTATGTTCACAGTACTTAACAACAATAATTAAAGTTAGGGATTCCAGATTTATGTATTCAAATAAGGGACAACTATGTAGTAGGAAGGGGTAATGGTAAGGATATAGCCCTCAAAACTAGTCCGTAATTCAAAAGTAATCTATTCAAAACTAAAAGTTAAAGATATATCTCGAAAAATATAACGTTGAAATAAAACTGGCATAAGTCAACATAATTTAAAAATATAATTTGTCTACACTTTTACAGTGATATTTACTACCTAATCTCATGATAACATGCTAATTTGAATTAAATAATTTAAGAAATGAGGAAAATTAGTGGACACACAGTATGGCGGATTCAAAATACAGGACAAAAGTGTTATTTGGAACATCGGGGAGCTTGTCTCCAATATGGGACAATTGGTATAATACGGATGTATGGAACCCCTAATTAAAGTAGACACTTATATCATGGAAGTTAATAAAAGCTTTGAAAATTCTCCACTTAATTCAAAGTAAGTAAATGATTTAACGTTATTATGATAATATTATTCATAGATAATTCATACTGAGCTCCAGTAGTTGGATCAATACTAATTTTTGAATGCTTTACTATTCTATGTTCATAGCTTCTATTTTGTAAACAAGAATATGTTCTACATTTGTCTGATATTATAATAGAACCCGATAATATACATGTATATATATATATTTTTTTTATAATTGGAATAAAAGTTTCTCTATAGTATTTTTTCTAGAAAAAAAATCCTTTATTCAAAATTATCTCCAATTTTGCTACAATACCAAAGGTCCTTCTATTCTGCAACCATAATTTCAGTTTGATGTAGGGGAATTAACTATATTTATTTGATCACTGTCAGAATTAGAGTCTTTTAGTAAACCAATTTAAACTATATAATTACAAGCATGTCGAGGCCATTACCTAACGTCAATAATATAACATCCAATTATCGCAGGGGACCTCGACATACGCTATGTACCTATTATTTTTTTCTTTTGCTTCTATTAAATTAACCTTCAGGAATCAAGTAGTGTCCAGTGGATCTATATATATACGGGTCCTGTTGTAGACCTAAGACAGAACGGTTACAGTTTTCAGATTGTCGCCACCGTCTCACGTTAAGACCGATCCACGTTCAAGCCCTTGCGGACAAACCTCTGGTCCGTTTCCTATTTCTGTTTTTTTAAATTATATGAGTTATAAAATAAAGTAATTAGTTATATGTATTTCTAAACTGTTTTTAATATCCGTCTAAATCCTCTACCACCAGCAGGTACTGCGGCGGAGTTCTGTCATTAAATAAATCATATGAGCCCAGATCGTCAGCCCTGAGCTCAATATCTTGTACTTGTTCATGACGCAGATCACTTAGCAGCTTTTTTCCTCGGTTATATTTTCTTCCCCCTCTCAATAATAATTCATCAATTTATATTATATTTATTTATAGTGTGGATGTCGATGATGAAGAAATGATGTTTGAAAATGTAAATGAATTCAGTATTTTGGAATTATGTTGAGTGTCAAAAATGACTGGTCAAAAGAAATTAGGATATGAATAATGAAGGCTAAAAGGATGATAAGATCATTAAGATCAAGAAAACAGAATGTGGAGAGCAATATGGCCCCACATACTAGGTGATCCATTTAAGTGGGTACACTAATTATTTCAGTAAGTATTAAATTTTTCTTAAATTTTTTTCTAGAACATTTAAGAAACAAGCTTTTACATTTTAGTGTTGACATTTTTGATTTCTGTCAATCCGCTGATGAGATATATTCTATTTTTAAGTTTGGGTTGGAGTAGAGTAGTGGAGTATCATTTGTGTAGCCATTAGGAAATCAAACATTCCAACATTAAAATGTATTTTAATTAATACTCCATCTATTTATGGACTTTTTAGTATAGGTTGCCATTGAAAATCAAAAGTAGGTAGTGGTTTTACCCCCAAAAATAAGGGTCACAAAAAAATAACAGAAATATAAAATTGTAGAACTGCTTGTTTCTTAAATGTTCTAGAAAACTAATAGTGAAATTAGTACATGATGTAGAAAGTACTGAAGTATTGTAGAAATAAATGGGTTTAGAATCAGTTACCAGTTTTAAAAGTGTCTAACAAGTTCAATGGATTGGACATATTATGCCCAGAAACCTGAAGGAGAGAAGAGCAGAGACCTTGTGGGAGACTCAAAAAAGATGTATGAGTAAGATAGAAGATCTCAATAAATTAGAAGTGCCAAATAACGTAAAGCAAAGGCAAATTGTGGTGATGGCTGCAAAACAACTTGTTAAACTTGTTAAACTAATATTTTTTTTTTTTTTTTTTTTAGGCTTTNTAGTTTTTCATCATCGCCTCTATATGGCCTCTATGTGGCACATGCATATGTCAATATAGGGTGGATGTAACTAATGTATAGATGTTCTTTTGTTTTTCTTGACAGCAGCTTAGATTTAAAGAGGGTTTTCAGTGCATAAAGGCATCGGTTAGCAGCGCCCAATCTAATATTGATCTCACCATGCATGTTGTTTTGGTTATTTAGGGTAGACCCAAGGTACTTGAACTCTTGTACTTCTTCAAAGGTGTTATTTCCCACGTGGAGGTTATTATGGTCACCCCCTCCTCGCTTTACCATCATGTATTTAGTTTTTCCACTGTTTATGGTTAAGCCAATATCTTTTCCTATCTTTATCAGTTCTTCAACAGTATTCTGAATACCTTCTCGTAAATTCCCAATAACCACTATGTCGTCTGCATATGCCAGTAAGATATTTCCTTCTTCAAGGTTTAATGTCTCAGTTCGCGGTACCTTTCTTATTACACTCTCCAGTGCCATATTGAAAAGCACTGGTGACATCGCATCCCCTTGCTTCAATCCACTATTTATTATAAACGAAGATGATATCTCGTTGTTCACCTTGACTCGGCTACTGGTATTCGGGTTACACAGTTTTATCATGTTGATTAATTTAGTTGGTAAACCAAAGTCTTTAAGAACTTTCCATAGTTTTTCTCTAATTATGCTATCATATGCTTGTTTGTAATCTACAAAAACCATATGTAGATCTTTCGCGAACTCATAACTTTTTTCCATAATTTGTCTTATGACAAATATGTGATCAGTAGTTGATTTATTTTTTCTAAATCCGCTTTGGTAGTTACCTACTATCTCATCTGTATAAATTTGCAATCTTTTAAGTATGATTAATGATAATACCTTATACCCAGTGTTCAAGAGTGTTATTCCTCTATAATTCTCTACTTTTTTTCGGTTACCTTTTTTGAAAATTGGACATATCAATGATTCGTTCCAGTCTTGTGGTATCTTTTCCTTTATCCATATCTGTTGAATTAGATGATGTAATTTTTGTGTTAGGTTTTTCCCTCCTAACTTCAATAATTCAGCTACAATTTTATCATCTCCTGGTGACTTATTATTTTTTAGAGTCTGGATTGCATACTGTGTCTCTTCTAAACTTGGGTTTAATACTTCTGGTTCTGCTGTATAATTTATGGTGTCGTCTTGTTCGCCTACTTCTTCCGTTGTTGAGCCTCTGTTAAGGAGTTTCTTAAAGTACATTCTAAATTCCTCGGCCATGTTTTCCGATCTAGTAATTAGAGCACCATTATTATCTTCTATCATCTGTATAGCTGGTATAAATCGATTTTTAAATGTTTTGCAATGTTTGAAGAATTCTCTGGGGTTGTGTTTGAAGTTTTCAATCTCCCCTAATCTTTCTTTTTCCGCTATTCTCTTTTCTTTTCTTATCAGTGTAGTTACTTCTCTTCGTTTGTTCTCGAAGTCCCTTATGTTCTCGGGGGTTGGTGTATGGATTGCTTTGATTCTGGCTTCATTGCGTTCCTTGATTCCTTTCTTGCAATTATCATTAAACCATTTCTTTGTTTTCTTTCTTTGTGTGTGTTGAATGACTTTTTCTGCGGATTCCGTTATTGAGGCTTTTATTACTTTCCACGACTCCTCAACCTGTTCATTATCACTGCCCTCTCTTTTTCCCAAGAAATTTGTCACTGTTTCTTGAAATGTCCGTAATGTTTCTTCATTTTTTAATTTATCCACATCGTATTTTCCGAGGATTTTTTGTTTCTTTTTCCATTCCATGGACATCTTTACTCTGAAGTCAATCAGGATCAAGTAATGGTCTATGTCTGCGTCTGCTCCTCTGTAGCTTTTGACGTTTCTTATAATCGTCTTAAATTTATTTTCTATAAGGACATGATCAATTTGGCTACTATATCTTCCTCCTGGAGATAACCACGTTTCTTTATGAATATTTTTCCTTGGGAATCTTGTACTGCTTATTACCATATTTTTACTTATTGCAAAATTAATTAATCTTATTCCGTTATCATTACTTCGGTCGTGTAGACTATGTTTTCCAATAGTCGCTTTGTATGCATTTTCTTTTCCCACTTGGGCGTTCATATCTCCCAATAATAATTTAATGCAATGACCTGGTAAAGCGTCATATACTTGTTCCAATTCTTCATAAAAGGCGTCTTTTGTTTCTTCATTTCCTGATTCGGTTGGTGCGTATGCGCAAATCATTACCATGTCCCGGTGGTTCATATTGATCCGAATGTAACATATTCGGTCATTTATAGCCCTAAATTGTTTAATCCATGGTATTAGACTATTGTGCACGAGGAAACCCACCCCATTTTCATGCTTATTAGACGTTATACCGCCAAAGAATAATGTCATGTTACCTGTTGGTAGACATCCTTCACCTTGCCATCTCATTTCTTGTAACGCTACTATATTTACCTTATATCTATCTATTGCATCAACTAGTGTACCAAGGGCTCCTGCTTTATATAACGTTCTTACGTTCCATGTGCCAATCCTAAATCCTTGTAGTCCGGGCCATTTCCATTGTGTTTTATCCAAATCTCTGTCCCGAGGCTTTAGTTTTGGTTTCTTAACAGTAGAGTTTTTTTACAGTGACGGGTTGTTAGCCCGTCGCCAAACCCCCAACCTGGAGGACCAGACTGAGCCAACTAGTTAAGGTCAGCTCAGAGCTCGGGGCCCCGGGTTCGCCAAACCCGTAGTGCTAATTACTTAGCATCCCCCTGAGGGAGTTAAACTAATATTATTAATTTAATTTAGCTGCTCATTTTTCTTAAATATATGATAATGTTTTTATTTTAACTTTTTGTTCTTATTTCCCAGTTAACAATGGGGCAAAATATAACCTTCATGTATTGTTTGGACATAATAATCCAAGAACTACCTAAAAAGAGGACTTGCAGCATTTCCAATTATGAATGTTTATTAGCAATGAAGCAGTATTATGAAGATAAATTAATGCAAATTGAGTGAGTATTATGTAATTTAAAGTTTTCTTGTCTTTGTGTTTAATGTTTTAAATCTGATATTATTTAATAAACTGTTGACTTTTATTTTTTCTCTTTTGGAGACTTTTAGTTAAAAATTGTTATTGGACATACAGACAGGCAGACATTCATTTATATATATAGGCATATATATATATAACAATTGTTGTAAATGTACAATCTCTAAAAGTTCTTTTGATGCAAATTTAAGCCATGTTTATGTTTAACAGCAGAACACGCTAAATAATATGCCATGGGTATTTTCTATAGCACATAAATACTTCTTGCCATGAAGACTAATGTAGTATTTGCCACATTATTTGTTCTATTGAGATATCCAAAAATCCTCAAACTTTCAATAAAATTGAAATGTTTTGAATATTCTAAACACTTTTTAATGGATATTTTATTGAAGCAATTTATACATTTTTTCTTTTTCTGGTTTTAATTCAAATTTTTTCCTTAAATGGTTTAAGTATATCTTATTGAATCCATGTAGGAATTTAAATTGACCGCCATTAGTTGGAGTGCCTGGTAGATTGACCTTTTGTAATTTAAAAAAATTATAGGCAGTGGCAGATTTGTTAAATATTGTTAAAGATAATTGATTTTGATCACTACAATTTTTAAATTAGTTTTCAATTTACTTATAGATTTTTTATTTTTCAATAAGTTAGATTGTATTTGTAATTTCTGTTTCAATTTTTATTTCTTTGGTATATCATCCTCATCAAATTTATTTTTGATACTGGAGCTGAGCATATTTATTATATCTTGTATATTTTGTTGTTTCCATGTAACTGGAGTTTAAAATATCAATTCTTTAATATGAGACCTAGAGGTTGTATGATCATAACGGAGTTGAGTTTAACTTAACAGTAGGACTTGGTACAGATTTTCATTATTCGGAGTCTCGTAGTTAAAAATGTTTGAAAAAATAAAATACCTACATTAAATTTGTTGCATTGCCTACATAAAAATATTTGTTTTCTTCAACAATAAATATTTTTAAATTACAAAACTCGAAAACATTACATCTTTAATTATTTCTTCATTATTGCAAACATTGTTGATTCAATTTTTTTAACATGTTTCAAGTTTGATAATGTAATTTAATGGTTTTTCTCTCATGTGGTTTTTATTTTTCTTGATTTACAATTTGTGCTTTGAGTGAAAAATACTCTTTTAAATCATTGGAAATGAAACTTAAAATTATTATAAGGTTTATATGACCATTCATAACACACAAATAATTAATATTACCGTAGTTTTACTTAAGTTTATTTTAGTAGTTAAGTTATAAAAATACAATTCTCTAATACAAGCTCAAACACAGAATTTTTTAAATTATTTTTCGTTATTAGTTTAGAACATTTTGTAAAAAAAAAAAAATTGGAAATTGAAGAGTTAAATTAATGTGATTAATGAGACTTTGATTCTTCATTGAAGGGCTTCAGATATCCCTATTATCAGGTTTTCAAGCCATGAATTTACTAAAATCCACAACATATTGTTAAATCCACATATGATAATAATAATCATAAACAATATTATCTTGAAAACTGGTAGATACCAGTCACTATCTGGAACATACAATTAATTTGTAGGAACAAACATGGTAGTTTAAGTGACCAAAACCCTTTTTATGACATTAAATTTACATATTGTATTTTCAGATATCTATTTACTGTTTACTCATACTACTAATATTTTAAATGTAATTTAGCTGATCCTTTTTTAAAAATATATGATAATGTTTTTATTTTAATCTTTTGTTCTTATTTTCTAGTTAACAATGAAGCAAATTACAACTTCCATATATTGTTGGGACATAATAATCTAAGAGCTTAAGAGGACTTGCAGCATTTCTAATTTATGAATGTCACCCACTCGGGTCAACCAAAAACCTAGTCGATAACACGGGTGGGGAGCTCCACTTCATGCCGGATTGGCCTGGCTGCTCCGGGCTTAGTGCCCCCAAGGTTGAGGAGCCCAACTCAGCTGAAATGTGGTGGCTGTGGGACTAGCGCGAGATAGTAAAGCTAATTCATTGCACCTAGTGGGCGAGCGGGAACCCATCCCAGTAGCAAGAAAGGTACGAGCCTCAAAAGCCCGGGGCCGGTGTCCCCTCCAAAAACCCTGGACCGGCAGCGGCTCGCCATCGTCGCTCCAGCACCGCGACTGCCCACAAATAGCACCCAGCGCTAAAACGTGGACGGCTGGCAGTAGGCGTCAGCCGGCCCAAAACTCTTTAATTTAATGGTAATAGGAAAAATGACCAAGGACAAATAGATTAATGTAAATCAATGGAACAATGAATTATTAATTATTGGTGAAACTGAACTTTATTAATTTATTGTAAGATAAATAAATTGTTGTGGAACTGATGTGAGCTAGGGTTTAGTTGTGATTATCATAAGAAAATCCCCATCCTCGCTCCAGCACCAAGTAGCCCGCAAGTAGCCTAGTGCTAAAACGCGGACAGCTGATGGTAGGTGTCAGCCACAAAACCTCTGGGGATCAGTTGTAGTCCAATTTGCTGTATACTCCTTACTAAATGCATACTTATATTAAGATATTCTAACCTTATCATTAATTTTAAATTTAGGTTTTCCTATTTTTCTATTGTTTAACTTAAATGATAATTGTCTTTTTCTGGCTTCGAGTAGTGTAATTTTAATCATTAAATATATAGTGTTATTATAGTTAGTTTTGATATTGAATTATACAAAATCCAAGACCCTATCGATGTAAAATGTTAGTAAATTTTATTTTATATTGTTTTTACAACATGTTCAACCATCCTAGCCTTTATGCTACTGTATGTTGAATAATGTTTAATATTATTTTTTTTTTTTTATAAGATCTTGGAACAGTTTATTGTAAAACTGTTACATTTTTTGTTTGTAATAATTTTGGATGATTTGTTTTTAATATTAAAGACATTTTTTTTGTAACTTATATACTGCTTTTATTTTTTAATGCTTGTATCTACAAATATTTGTTGTATGTGTCCATTACAACTGAAATGTATTTGAAACTATGATTTTTCCCAGAATGCTGTTGCATATCTATTAAATCAGCTGATCACAGATCATCATTGAAAAAAAAATATTACTCTCCTAAGAAATATCTATTTTGTAGACTGATGTAATTCATCTAATATACATAATATTCATATAATAATATTACTTAATGTCTCCATACTTATAATTTTATTAAGCTAATGATGCAAATTACCTATTTTTTCATCAAAAAACAGTTTTTGTGAGTTTTTGAATTTTCATGTATTAATAATTTTTCCTTGCCTTTCTTCTAATTACAAATTTCAGCAGAAGAAGCAAAACTGGATTTTCCTTCAATACAAGGTACATAGTACAAACATTTTGTACTGTTTAAATATCCTAGATATTTTCTATTTAAAACTTGTTTGATTTTTTGTATCTTACAATTTAAGAGCATTGCCTTTTTGACTTTAAAGAGTTGTTTTGATTAAAACTTTGTAATGATATATAATCTCTTGTAGTATCATTTACATAATCCACAATGCAGGATCATCTCTGAAGTATAATTAAAAAGTAAGAAATGCGAATATAATATTATGATATGCGCAATATATTAGGTTGTTATATAGGTAATACATTTGTGTTCATAACTTTTAGGTACCTACAATAGGTACTATAAAATATAAAATTATGGAAACTTTAAATATATAATAATGTAAAGTAAGCAAAAATACAAAAATGGATATTAAATGAATTTGATTAATAATACAAAATGTAAAATATCATATAGTTAAAGTATTAGATTATCTTTAAATTTTTGAAATTCCTATTATATTATGTTTCTATTTCTTATAAGAAATAATAAATAAAACAAACAAAATTACAAGAAAATGATAGTCTAATAAAAAAGTTACAAATTTAATATTTCAATTAACATCAATTTTACAATAGTATACATCTTACCCAGGAAGAACATTTGTTTGAGATTTAATATTTTTACTATCTTCTATTGGACTTGACTTGAACAGATGAACAATTATCATGATTGACAAAATGCACTTTTCTAAAAATATTAATTCCCTATAAATCAATATTTCTCCAGTCATATTAATACAGTATTATATTTATAACATCAAAAATTATCAAATTGAATCAACTAATTTAACTAAACTTCAAAACAATAAACACAACAAGCAACAGTTATAAACCAAAAACAAAAATGTTTAGATATAATATAACAATATGTATCTTAATTAGGTTCATTTATATGTATGTAAATAGATGTGTATATATGTGTAGTATGCTCAGGGGTGGAGTAAAAACTAAATTCAGGCTGAAAGATTACAATTTATTCAGGCCACACAAAAAAAAAAAATACGTAACTACCTACTAAACAACATTTTTCTCGCGATTTGAGTTACTGAAAAAGCCAGGATTTTGAATAGAAGAGAACTAATTACGTTTTTACTTAAGAAATGTGCGAAGATAATAAATGATGAAGGGAGTGGAATTTCGATCTGAGAAAAAATTTAGAAAAGTGATTTCATCAATATGCATTTTTAATTTAATAATTTGAACTGAAATGTATAAAAATAATCTTAATAGTTACCTAATTAAGAATATATTAATTACAATTTATAACTTTCTACCAAGTTGTTAAATAATACGAGGAATTAAAATTATATAAACAAATATTAGGCCATCAGCCCCTAATTTGATCCAGATAATCTGGAAAATTCTCATTTCCAGACCGGCTACTAAACTTCGGAAATGCTTGACATAAACTATTATAGTTGAAATGAGTTTTATAAAATTTCACCATAGAGAGTAATTTTTATTAATGAATTTTACGCGCTCAAATATTGAAAACGTTAC